GTAATATGATCCCAGCTGTTAGCACAGAGCTTGCACCAGGCACAACCCTTTGCAAACACACTGAGTTGGTAATTGTGTGCAATTTTGGTTTGAGCCTAACATCTATAAAACACCAGGCTGCCCAAAAAAAACCATAAATGGGTATCCATCCCAAGATGTCATGATTATTTAAGACATTTATAATTACTGTAAAATCAGCATTAAAGGGGAGATGGTACCAAGAAATATTTTCCTATTACATAAAACATTTGGCATCACATTTGTTTGCCAACAAATCCACAATGTTTGTCCCCCCCTTCCCATTTTATATGGGAGTTATGTTAATTTTTTTTTTTCAGAATTTCATTGCACTTTGGTACAAAGCCTTTAATAATTGCACTGACCTTCATAAAACTATCACCATTCATCTGAGTGTTTTCAGCTGGTGAAGATCCTGTTGTGGAAACTACAAAAAAGGAATTGCTCCTTTCCTTTTGTTACTTCTCTCACATTTGTCTCACCAGTTATTGTTTTCTTCTGCTCCTTATGATCATTCCAGCCATTACTGGAACCAAAACGAACTCAGGACTAAACAGAATCCATGGCTCCACCACACACACACAACCATGTTTCTGTACTTGACATTGAACATTCATTATCCCTTAACACAGAGCACAATGCTTTCTGCCATGCCAGAGTATCAGATGGGCTGCTTTCAACACTAGAAAACACAAAGTTAGCCTGCATGAAACTCTAATTTTACAGAAATTTGGGATGGATCTGGGCATAGAAGAACATGCATCTACTTCACTGACAAGACTTTTGTTCAGAGGAAAAATATTTCCATTTTTCTTTTCAGTGCTGAAGAATGCTCATGAAGATCTTCATTACACAAGAGGGAATGAAAGAAGAGGGCAGTTCAGCAGAATAAGGCAACCTTCCAGTTCAGCTCCTAGCAGGCTGCACCAAACTGTAACCAAGAGAGAAAGCAGGCCACAGGAAGGCGTCTGTTGGGAAGTGCACTGCTAGGATATGCAGGCCTTGCCTCTACATCATGATATAACACATCCATTTTTTATCAAGTCTTTTGATAGGGTATTTAGTCCCTGTAAGCAGCCTGCGAAATAACAGGGTTATACTAAAACTTCTGCTGTAGTAAATAGCGGTAACACAAGCCATGCTGCATGCAAAATTGTAGAAGGTCAGAGCCGAGGAAAATAAAAAACTCAATTATAAACACAATCTTTTACTTTACAGTCTGTTAAAAGCCATCAGAGGTTTGACCTCTCCTTTCTACACACCCAGAGTCAGCAGTACTGCCTGCAGACTCTCTGCAGCCTTACCTATATGATTATTTTGCCTCCAGGTCAGTGTGTGCATTTTAGCCCAAGCTCTTGATTTACCAACACTATTTCTCAGAATCACAGAAAGAATTTGTTTTGAAAAGACCTCAGAAATTATCGAGTCCAACCTGTGATCAAACATCACTATGTCAACTAGACCATGGCTCTAAGTTTTTCTTAGACACCTCCTCGGAAGGTGACCCCACCACTCTCCCAATGTCTCATCACCTTCTGTATAGGAATTCCTCCCGGCTGGACCCCCAGGTCCAACCTGAACCTCCCCGGGCATAACTTAAAGCCATTTCCTCTTGAGCCGCTGTGAGAAGAGGCTGATCCCAACCTGGCTACAGCCTATTTTTGGGCAGTGAGTGATAAAGTGATAAAGTAACCCCGAACTTCCTCCTCTCCAGGCTAGACCTGGAGCTGTTTCAATTTGCTATAGCTTGGGCTAAACCAAGAGGTTCTTTATGGAAATTTAGAATCACACCATAATTAGCATTTCCTTTCCTCAGCTACGGATGAGCCCCAAAGCACCGCGACCCGGGTCCGG